GGAAAATCCAAATGACCAAAAAATATGCACGAAATATTAATTGTTAGGATGTTGTTGTTTTTTTTTCAATTTTAGAAAAACAAAAGACGGTGGTACATTTTAAAAAATGACTAGTTGAGAAAGTAATTAGGCAAAGTAAGAAAAGAATGGACTGTATTCTAAATAACACCAATTCAATTCAAGTCAGTTTGATTTTTATGGCACCAATTCACAACAACAAACAGTTTAAAGTGTTTAAAATGTAAAGCATGTTATTAAAAGCAGGCTAAAGCAAAGAAATACCAATACCATTGTAAAACAATTCTGCTTTCCATTGGATTCATATCCTACTACTCAATATACTATACTATACTACTACCCAACATTTTCCATATGTGCCATCACACATGGACAAAGACATTTTAAAAAGGCAGAGGACACTTAAATGTAACTTTGAAAAACAGTTTCCTTAAAGGCCGTCATCTCACTGAAATAAAAATGAGATTTCTCCAGTAATTTCAGCTTCTAGTATCCTGCCGGCCTTAATCTGATTGTCCGAGTCTGTTTTCCATCGGAGACAGATTTAAGACAGGACATCAGATTGGAGTTAACACTGTTTGCCTTTCTGTTTCCTACACACCGACGTGCAGAAATCCATGGAAACACATGACAGCTAAAACTAGTATGCCATAAGCTGAGATATCAGGAAAGCGTGTTTCATTTTTCTATTTCATATAACAGACACGCACAGATGATGCACACGCAGAAGGTTTCTCGACACGTTCAAAAGGTGTGACTGCCTGTGCTTGCATGTATTTTGTATGAATTCATTTGTCACACGAATGCATGAGTGCACACACACTCTCACTGTTTCTCTTCAGCAGTGAAGTACTTGTATTAGAGTTAAACAGTGCAGACACAAGCAGGTCTCCTCCATCTTTCTCCCAGCTCGCGGAAGCTGAGAGCACAAACACAGCCGTCAACTAAATCAGCACCATAACATCAACAGATGTCCTGGTGTGAAAAGCTTTCTGGACTTTTAGTGTTATTATATATTATAATTACATTGAAGATCCAATATGTAAAAAAGACAAATATGAAACTGTCCACTGTTTGTGCTATTTAACCACTAAGAACCAAGATTTAGCCAGATTTGGGCATTTTAGCTGCTCTTTGAAGGGTCCTTTGTGCTCCACTTTTCTATAATTTAATACTTACAAAGTTCACCATGTTAGATTGGTGCTAGTTTACCTAAACAAAACCCAGACAAATTCTCCAGCAACAGGAAGATGGTTTGGTCCCCTGGGAGCCTCTATTGCCTGACTCCATCTCAGATTACATGAAGAAGACATTGAGAGAAATTGTCCAAGATGCTTGAAGTAACCTGCCTGCCAAGTATCTTAAGAACTGTCCAAGTGCAAAATGCTATAGTCAAAGTAACTTTAGCGCATCAAGACTGACAGAAATGGAGTCTATCTGCTCTCATTTTACCACTGAATTAGCTGAAGTTGGTAATTAAATTCAACCTGCAAAGACTGCCAATATTTGGCCTTCTATAGAACTTTACATGAACTAATATATTCACAGTATAGCCAGAATATATTTAGAGTATAGCCAGGTCAAATCATAGATTTGAAATAGAAATTCCTCCAAAAATAGTGATGTCCTTTTGCAGGACAGCAAAAGGATTGACAAAAGGCCTTTCATAAATTGGAAGCCAATTATTTGCAAGCCTTCGTCAATCTGTCCGAGAGTGACTGCAGTCAGACTGCAATTTCTTTGGGCTCAAAGCGATCACTGAAACTAATTGTGATCATTAAAAGGAAAAAAAAAAATCAACGAGTGGTTGTCATCCTACTTTTAGCCTATTGTGATGGAGACATTAAGGACAACTTGTAATTTACTAACACCAGCAGGTGAGTCACAGTGAATATTGATTTGACTCTAGTTTTTTCTATTTACTACACTTTATGATGAATAAAAACTACAAATAAATAACTTTTAGTAGTAAATTCTATTTCAGTGACTACCAAGAGAAAAAACACAATGGTTGATCTTCATATTGCTGTTGCTACATTCTGTTATTACTGGCCATATCTCCTCATCATTCTCCCCAGCTGCTACTGTGCACGTGCTGCATTAAACGGCATGATTAAACGTTAAAGAAGTTTCTGTAGAAAAACACAGCACAAGTGCAAGTGTGGGTCAAAGTCTGAATGTTCTCTTTCAAAATTTCCCAACGGTTCCATGAAAAGCATCTGACACATCTCATGATCAGAAAACAAGGGATTAGAAGAAGGGATGATTATTAAATTCATTTTATCACAAATGTGAGCCTAGGATAGCAACTAGCTGCACACAGTATGTGATAAAATGATATATGATCAAATAAGAAATACCTTATTTATCACCAAAGTTGGGAAATGTACTCAAAATGTGAAAAAGAACTGTGATTAAATAAATATCACAGTGCAAAAAAATCACTTAATAAATCAAAATGTAAATATGATTTACTCAGGAGCTTAAATTCACAGTGGATACATGGATTGTGGTATGTGGAATTGTGTTTTATCCTTGTGATGGTAGAGCTGAAACAGATGTTAGAGAAAGTCTTCAGCTGCTTGTCCAGCAAGGGGTGCAAAGGGTGACCAAGATCCATTTCTTGTCCATGCTCATTCAGCCACAGTCCTTTGGATGATCTCTGTGTCAGCTGATGCAGGAATCCAAACAGTGTGATGAATAAAACTGGATTCAAACAGCAACAGAAATGTCCATTTCCCTCAGTGAGTAATACCTTGCCAGCTAGCAATATTCGGGCCATGAAAATCTTCCCCACAGTTACATGTCTGCAGCTACAACACTTTTCTATCACAATTGTGAAAAAGTGCGATTTCTCCACTTTTCTTCTTACTGCTCAGATTAAAGTCCTTGGCTGGCACTCCCTCTCTCCCTCCACAGCTTCATGAAGCAATGTCAAACTACACTCACTATGTTTCCCCTCTTCTACTGATTTGCGATGCAGTCCTGTTTTACCTTCATAAAACTGCAGGAGTTATGTGGCTCAACATAATGCAACAAAATAAAGTTTGGCAGCTCACAATAGGCCACGGGATTATCTTCGTCCAGGTGCACGAGTATAACACTCCAAATGAGACTTAGTGGCAATAAATTTCCCTTGTAAAGGGCACTGAGGTAATCGTCCAAAATGTTCAAAATGTCCCTGACATTCATCAGGGACTGATGTGAGTGTCTCTTCTGTATTATGTAGGACCATAACTGTGTTTTTTAATTGCAAGTGATCACCCCGAGGAGGTCAACAAAGGGACAATTCCAGTTTTCCACTTTTCAAGATGATGAACCTCTTTAATCGGCTGGTCTTCTTCTTCTTCTTAACAGCTGCTAGTTAATTAAAAACATTAAAAAATTATCTTTTTGGTGTGTCAAATAGATGGAGTAATGAACTAATAAAAGTCCAGTGTATCGTCCTCTTCTCAGTTTTTTAAACTCAGGCAAAGACTAAGGAAAACAAACAATCTTTCAGTCAGATGACACAGAAAGGTTTAGGTGTAGGTCTTTTCGCGGGAAATGACAAATTAAAGTTCATTCTTGCCCAAGGCCTTCATTTCTTTTTGAATCAGTGAGGACAAAAACAGAACATCAGTGACGTAGTAGCGCATCTGGCTTAGGTATTCATTACAATCCACAAGTTATTGCCCTGAAAAATGACAAATGTGACCTTAATGTTAACCTGAAACAGGTGATTCTTGTTTATTGTGGACAATCAAAGCCTTGCCTTGATCGCTGAGCAAAAAAACATACACTCTCTCACTCAGATCCACTTACACCCCTTCACTCACTGAAATTACTGCCCTTCACATTAACATTAAGGGACGTCTGCCATCAGTCTTACATGATCAAATATGTCTTAGGCCACTGGTTATAGATAGACTGGTACAAATGTGACTTGTGCCTTGCCTGTGTGTTTACCTCAGTGCCATGGATGTCCCATTGACTGATGCAGCTGAGCATGCTCTGTGGGTTGGTCCATAGGAGCAGCTCCCCTGCCGTGCGTACCGCTCATCCCCGCAGCACAGAATGACCAGAAACGCCCTCCGAAAAGCCCGGTTTAGGAAGGCGTACAGGAAAGGGTTTAGCCCTGAGTTAATGTACCCAAGCCACAACCAGGCTGTCCACAGCTGCCAGGGTACCGAGTAGTGGATGAAAGGGTCCACTATGTTGGTGATAAAGAATGGAGCCCAGCACAGGCAGAAACAACCCATTATAACCGCCAACGTCTTTGCTGCCTTGGTCTCAATGCGCATGCGGCTGTGACCTACAGGAGCCTGCTCTGAGGAGGAGGAACCTGTTGGTGTCCTAAGGCGGTAATGCTCCAAAGGATCTGAGGAAGTGGATGTCCTCACGGTGATGACTGGAATTGTGCCGGTGACCGGAGCAGAGCCGGCACGTTGAAGTGTCTCTATCTGCCGCACGTGGGTCATGGCAGTAACATAGATACGCTGGTAGGCTAAGACCATGAGACCCAGCGGCACGTAGAAGGCCACTGCAGAGCAGATTAGGGCGTACGGCCGGTTAACCAGAAACACACAACTTGTGTCGTTCGAGCCTCCCGCCAAGGCTCGCCGCTCTTCAATCTGCAAAGAGAGAAGACACAGGAAGAAAAAACAAGTGAAATATGGGGCTCCCAGGAGGGGATTAGTTTAGCTTAACAAAAAACAAAAACATTTAAAAAAAACTGGAACTATGGAAAGACTTAGGCCAGCTGTTTCCCTCTGCTTCCTGCCTTTTAGTTAAGGCGGGCTAAAGAAAGAGGTAAATGCTACATATTGTAATAATAAAGTACTTTGGAATATCCTTTGTCTGGCCAGTTGCCCATATCTTTGTCCTCTATATAAACCATGAGTAGGTCAAAGTAAATTAAAAATCTGCAGGCGGAGAATTGCCTTGAGCTGAAAGATTAATTTTATCTTATCCCTCTATGTAGCATTTGGGTGCAGTAAGGTAATGCTGCACCGTGGGACACTAGAATAAAACCAAACTATCATCAAAGCAGAAGAAAAAGTAATGTGTGACTCATCTTGAATTGAAAATGCACTCTTAATGGACTTTTAGTGTTTAAAGTGCCAAAATAATGCATTTGAAAAGCTAAATAGCAATGTCTCTATCCAAAAAAGACAACCTTGCTACAATTGCAGTTGTGAGCTGTTTAATGTAGGAATAATTATTCTTTCTACTGTCTACGTCCACGAGTTAGCAGAAACTCCTCCTCTTGTCACACGTTTCTGATTTGATAGTTTGGTGAAAAATGAAATAATAATAATAATAATAATAATAATAATCATTCCTACCTGTAAATGAAACTACACACAATAAGGTTTGTATACTTTTTGAGCAACTAGGTGTTAATTGGAAAAAGATTTAGGTTTAATCAAAGCTTCACACTTACATAATTATCAAAAGAAAGTAAAGAAAGGAAGTCCATCACATCGATTTCCTCCCTAATTATTAAATGTGACGTTCATCTTTGTGTTACATGAACCAAAAAGTTCTTTAAGCTGACAACAGCCACATGGTAAACATGTATTCACAAAGCTTACTGAATAAACTGTAAGTAACTGTGTCACAGACAGCCAACTGTGCCGCTGTTGTTGTCCATTCTCCATATGGAGGTGGGTGCTTACTCCCACAGTGTCACTTAGTCGCGATAAGAGCCAGAATAATCTAGCTTTTTTCAAAGGATGAGATGTCAGAGTCTTGAAGTTGAATCTTGACTTTGCGGAGATGTGAAATTTTTATTTTAATACTTTAAAAAATAGCCTTTTTGATATTATTCCTCCAGCCTTGTGATTGCAACAAGTCCAAGTACATGCAGAACAGGAGCCTCACACTTACAGCAAAAGTCCACGAAAGGTAACTTTCATCTGTGTAATTGTTTTGCTGTCTGTTTCCAACTGTGTTTTATTTTCAGCCGTATACATTTATTATACATTTCTTTGTACAATGCCTCAATATTATGCAGACCATCGGGAGATATATGCACTGAGAGGTCCTCTATCCGTTGCGTCTTAGCTTTGCGCAAAGGGTCGCATACCTGAGATATGTGAATCCTGGAATTAATTCTAAATTTTGGAAGTGTTTCCTTTGCTGATCGTAATTTTTTTAGTAGCTGTTTGAGTGGACTACCTGTGGAATAGTTGAAAGGACGGCCCAACCATTTAAACAGAGCACTACTCATTTGGTCAAACCTCTAGAACTGTGTAATAATTTACAGATTTCTACTAGTTGACTAAAAGTGTTAGATGTCAAATAAATTAATAACATAAGTACTTCCAGCTTTCTGCCACATTGCCCAGTTATCTGGTTTGTCTTTGCTCGGGAGTTGTTTATTATTCCATAGAAGTGCTTGAGGTATAAGCTCCGTGTAGCTTATGGCATACACCACGGTGATAACCAGTCCCTAAGGTAAATTTCTATCTGAAATCAACTTGGCCAGCTCAATTTAATTAGATTTTACTCTACAGACAGAAAACCTTGCTGCAGACGGTATCTCCCAAATTGAGCATTTCAAGACAGAGATCAGTTTCAGATCACTATCCATGAGCAGACACCTTTAAAACCAACCAGACAAATACTATTTGGTTTAGCTTGTGCTTAGTGAGAAGAAATTTCAGTTTCAAACAATCCCTCTGAAACAGAACAGAAGCGTAATGAAAAACACACACACAGAGACAGCATTTAAAATAATCCTATGCAATTTTGTATACCGTGTATGACTTCTAGCCATCGAGACAGCCATTAAAAAAGTAACACTGGCTTTGTACGCTGCCAGACAGAAAGATAAGAGAAAAGAGCTTTTCATTAAGTCTGGATGAATAAATTCATCTGTCCCTGCCTGCCTCTGGGAGTCCTGCTGCTCATTTCAAGGCAGCTCTGAAACAAGCTCATGCCAAAACATACCTAAACCAGAAGAAAATGCTTGTTGAAGTGCTGTCTTTGCTCGCAGCGAGAAAGCTTCCACAGGGACTGGAATTGTTTTGTGATCATTCTTTTACTGTGCCATTGTTTCAGGGATTGAAAATGTTATTAGAAACAAAGAATATTAGACTGGAGAGGTTAATGCCGCTTTTGCCCTCAAAGAAAGAACATACCTCTCTTTAGGCATTTGAGAGCGGTATGAACTTTTCTTTGTGATACTTTGTTTAAACATACTGTCTGTTTGGTTTGATTCAGGGGTTGTAGTAAAAACAAAATGTAAGAATTAGAACTATGTAGCCACTTGTTTTGATCTCATTAGTGATGGTTTCTGATCTGAGCTAATGAGGACTTACAATATCCTCGATCCCGATGGCGTTCCAGCTTTGCATGATGGGTAGAAAGGAGATAAATGTGGGAATGAGCCAACAGCCACTGAGCATGACTGCCACTCTCATCGGGGTCATCTTGTGTCTATACACCAATGGCTGGCAGCAGATGGCATAATACCTGAAATAAGACACAGACACTAGCACACACATACTTTACACTAACATACAGATTTAAAAATGAATGGGGGGTTGTGCTTCAGAGGTATGGGGTATTGGGCCCATACTCTATTCTGGCTTATTTGATCCTTGTATGACGGTAGTGCAGCCATTGCTGTGAAATAAATCAGACTTTTTCCTACTTTTGTAGGAAACCTTACTGACTTTTTGTGATATTAAACTGCTCTTCATAGCTGATTCTGTTCACTTTTACTGACAGAAATACTAGGTTCAACATGGTGGCATGACCAATGCTTGCAGCAGGATCTGCTTACACCAGTAAAGGCAATATAAGGCAACAGCTAGGTTTGCCTGTCAAAGTCGTATTTTTGTTTGTGACTCTCTGAGGGACATCAGAAACCTTTGCTGAGATCTCATAGATTTTAGGAAGGCTACCTTCAGTTATCTCCCACCACCGACAGTCAGCGAATTTGCGGTAAAGAGGGTAAAGGGCATTGAGTTTTGGAGGGCTGACCTCCAGCGACAACACCCCAGCTGTCATCAAGAAGGCACAGCAGCTTTTTTCCCTCCTCTGCAGAAGGAAGACAGCGGACCTCCTCACTTCAGCACTGACAGTCTTATACAGACGGGCCATCAAAAACATTATTACATACTGGATTACTGCTTGGTTTGCAAACAGCAGGTCTGAGGATAGCCATAAGCTGAAGAGGGTTGTGAGAATAGTAGAAATGATTATTCTCTGTTTGAAATCTATAAACAGCACTGCATGGGCATGTCCTACCAAGAGGACTACCCGAGGGCCGACCTGCTCCGCTCCTGGACACACATGAAAGATTAGGTCTCTGCCAGTTTGATAATGTTTTGTTTTCTTCTCAAAGAGCGGGAGGCTCTGGATGAAGAGAGGAAAGTCTGGGGTACCTGCTTAGAGGGCAGCCCCTACGACCCAAATAAGTGGTAGAAAAATACAGACGGATCATTTGTTAGGTGTGCAACGTAAGTAACTGACTGTCTTCAACACTAAATCAAACCCTATTTTAAAAAAAAATGTTTTCAGTGGGGAAACACATTGCGCCATCAATATATGCCTTTTTTACACAAACACAAACCTATCCAGTGCAATGCAGCAGAGGTGCAGGATGGATGCTGTGGTCAACAGGACGTCCAGAGATGTTCGCACCAGGCAGAAAATCTCTCCATAGCGCCACTGGCCAGTAGTCAGTTCGATGGCAGCAAAGGGCATCACGACCAGAGCAACCAGCAAGTCAGCAAACGCCAGCGAGACAATAAAGTAGTTTGTCTTTTTCTTTCTGGGAGAAGAAGACAACCATAAAGAAGTTGGAGGAAAAAAAAGATCCAGAAAAAGTTTGATTTACTCTAAATGTTCTGTCTTTAAAAAGGGGAGCGGCTTAGTCGGCGCAACTCCGTAAAAATGTGAAAGACAGGCATGTTTTTGAGTACAGTTTTATAAATAAATAGTATTAACTTCCATTTGCTTGTATGAACTGAGGAAAACCTGCAGTAAAGTCTATCTTAACCCTGGAGAACCCATGGGGTCAAATTTGACCCCATGGTTTCCCTAGAAAACCAATGAGGTCGGCTCTGACCCCATGGGTTCTCCAGGGTTAAATAAAGGTCTTTAATAACGTCTCAAAACTTTTGAGGCACAGATCCAAAAAATGTATTTTTGGGGAAGTTACCAAATGTCAAAACAAATTAATGTCCATCTTTCTGTCTACCTGACAGGGTTTGTCATGACAGGCTGAATGAAATTTGAGTGCTCTGACATTTGATGGGTTTGTTTAAATATTATTGCCAAAATGAGAACCATGTAGTTTGAGAAAAAACGGATCTTCAAATGCTGGTTTAATTTTAAAAGACAGAAAAAGAAATTCTGAAAGTCATTATCTCACTCAAAAAAACTTTGCTACATTATGTCAGGTTTATTGTATGTATTTTTAAGATTACTAGATTTTTATTATGGCTTTTCTGGACGTTCTCAAAAAAGATTTTAGGGAGCATTTGCAAGTGGAGGGGACAGAAGATTTAAACCTTCTTCTCTGCTGAAGCCACAAAAACCACAGCTGCTGCTGAGAAAGACAACAGTGCTCACCGCAAGTGTCGGTCCTTGCAGAGCGCCACCATGACCAACAGGTTGCCAAAAACTGTCATGATAATGATGAGCGAGAGAAAGATGGTGAGAGCGATGGTCTCCAGGGAGCTCAAGAATTCCTGCTGCTCCTGTTGGCCTGGCTGTTGTTCAGAGTTTTTTATATCATCCAACAAACTGCAAGATAAAAATAAAACAAGTAACCGACCAATAAGTCAGTTATTAGTTGCATATGCTATAGTCTGGTTATTGAATGGGATATGCATGATGTAAGTTTTACAGTGGGTATGGATAGATTTATCTTAGTTTATCTTTGCATGTAAATTTGATTATTTTATATTAGGTTACTTGTATCTTGTATCTCTGACATGTATCTGAATTTTATGGGTCAACTGATATTATATGTAGCTACCAAGAGATTGCAGATGAAAATCAGCTAACAGCTTAAGCTGGGACGAGACATTTTTTCCCCAAATGTGATAAATGTTTCTTTTTGTGCATGTTCCCTCAGAAAATTAAAAAAAAATCAATCAAATGGCTGTGGGGTGCTTTCATTTAGCACGCTGTGTAATTATAGTTGGGCTGACACCTGTACGTGTGATCAGAAGGTTATAATCACTCATGGTTGTCATGACAATTCAGATAATCAGAACTAGAATCAAACTTTATTAATCACAGAGGCACTGGTTTTTTCCAGTGTGTAAAGATGGTACAGCATACATCTTTAATGACTTCAACAAATTGGAATTTATTTAGTGCTTTCTTGAATCCACACAGGGTCAAAATTATGCATACATACTCGCAATTAAATCTTTTAATAAGTGATGTTGTAATGAGTGAAGTTCCTACATTGTTTTTTAACTTCACAAAGCCAAGGCCTATTAAATACTTCTCATTAGTGCAACAACTGGTAGTTTCTTTTTGGCAGCAGAAAAAGTGTTTGTTTGACAATGGGAAAGTCAGTGAAGATCTAAGAAGAAGAATTGTAGTTTTACACAAGTTAGGAAGATCTCTTGGAGCCATCTTTAAACACGGTCTGGAAGAAGACCCAAACTGCCCCCCTCAAATGAAAGGAAATTGGTTAGGATGTTCAGGATCAACACAGGTACTACTTCACTAATGGACTGAGAGAGTGCCAACCAAGAAAGAAGCCCCTGCTCCAAAATGAACACCTTCAAGTTCGGAATGCATTCTTGGGAAAAGCTTTATGGTCAGACTAGAAAACAACTGAGCTTTTTGACCACAGGTTTGGAGACGTAAAGGTAAAAACACTGTGCCAACTATCAAGCATGGTGGTGGTAGCATCATGCTCTGGAGATGTTTTACTACCAGTTGTACTGGTACACAAAGTGGATGCAGTAATGAAAAGGAAAGACTACCTTCAAACTCTAGACTTCACCACAACAACACTGGCTTGGGAATGCATAAAGGAGGCTAACATTAAGCTTCTGGAACAACTTTCCCAAAGCCCTAACCTCAACCCTACTGAAAATTAGTGCTAAAAACCAATTTAAATGAACTCTATTAATTCTGCCAGAAATAATGCTCAGTCATCTGACCAGTGGATACTGAAGCATCTAGCTGAGGTGCAGCTTGCTAAGGAACATTTAACTAAATATTAGTGGAGGTCTATGTATATATTTGAACCTCTGTGTATACTTTTGATCCTCTTCAGATTAGAGAAAAATCCAAAACATATTCAAACTTGTGAATTCAATTCTTGTTTTTTAAAGTAATTAAAGTCGTATGCTATTCAGTAATTCTATCCTGGAAAAAGAACAATTGAAATAAACCACAAAAAGCCCCAAACTGTGACATTCATGCTAAAATTAGCAGGGACTAAACACACTTGGCTTATGATTGTTATGACTTACTGTTGAGGTGATGCTGTGGCCATCACTAGTCATCTGCATTGAGATTAGCAAAGGAGAGTCCTCATCACCCCATGCTACAGCCCTGTTGAAACACACACACAACCATGATGTAATGTTACTGGCTCCTAAAGTAAGTCTGCATTTTTCTGAAAATAGTAGTTGACCTTCTTGAATCTGAACTGACTGGATTTCACATTCTTGTTTGTCCATCTTGTGGCACCCATTAAGGAGCCAAAAATGTGGTGCTTGTACCTCAAATAAGTAATTAGATCACAGCTTGAAAACGTGCGATATTTATAGGGCAAACAGTCTGCAGCGGGCAGGCAGCAGCTGTTGCTGCCAGATTAAATCAGCATGTTAGTTTATCTTGGTAATGAAATAATAATATCATACATGAGTGAGTACCACAAGGGGAAATTCTCCTTTCTTACTTCCTTTTCATGAATGTCAAAAGTCGGACTCCAGCTACTGATGGACTGCCGGGACTGGTAAAGATCAAAACCTTTGTTCCTCCCGTTGAAAGAAACGCTGTTTATGTTTGCTGCTCTTAATTATGCCAATGAATAAAGCAATCCTAGTGATACCACTTTAAAAGTCAAAGAATTATCAAGGTTTAGAGTTATCGAGCATGAATCTTGGATGTTTTTTGAACATCTGAGTCAGAAATTGCTCTTCACTTGCTATTAGATAGTGAGTTTGCCATTTTCTCGTGTTTTGCATATGTATGGTTCTTACTCCTTTTCCTTATATAGCGCACTTAATGCAACCCAAAGTTCTGTAGCAGTAATAGTGCAAATAAGTAGTAAATCTGCAGTGTACCATGAGGGCCCCACTATCCCTATCCGAGCACTGTATACAATCATGCTTGGCACTGAAATAACAGATGGACGAGAGAAAAGAGTGCATAAACAGCCATAAAAGTATTCATTTTGGGAAAAAAACGTCTGTTCCATTTAAACACTTTGATAAAAGGCTAAATGAATTGTGCTTTTAACACACCCTGAACTTTCTAAAGAAGAAGTAAGAGGGACTGAATGAGAGAATGATTTCATAAAAAAAAAATTAGTTACATCTTTCATGTTACTGCATCTGTGATAGATTGGCAAACTCTACAGTATGTATGACAGATACGGGATGGGATAGACTCACGCACAACCACAAGCCTGAACCTCAGATAAGGTGAAGAGGATGGATGGATGGATGGATGGATGCATGGATGGATGGATGGATGCATTCTGGACAACAAATATCAACTTTATGGCCATGGAAAAATTCTGGGGATGGCCAATTTATTTTTGGGCTCAGTGTCTGCAATCCCAACAAAACTCAGTATCAACTCCCTACTGCTGGTGAGAAATATACCACTTTTACATCAAATAAAATTGTGATTTGCCTTAAAACAACTAACAAGTTCTGCAGGGTCTGGGGTCTGTATCCAGTGCTGTATCATTATTTTAGATTTTAGTTTCTTTCTCTGTCACATTTCTTTTTGTTTTCAGTCACTGTTTTGTGTTACTAACCAGAACTGCTTGGTTAAGTTTAGGAAATGATGCTTCTGCAACATGAAGAACATGTTAGAGTTCCATTTTACGTTTGGGTAGGATACCAGAGTCACAAGCCCTGGGTTAAAAATATAGTAAAGAGGAATAGGAGGGAGGAGGAGGAATCTCTGAGTCTCACAGCTGTTACTTTAAAACTAATACACTGTGGAGCATAGCTACAGCTAAGTGTGATACGTTAGACATTTTTTCTTGTGACTGGATTCCCATTGAAATCTTTTTCAAGTCAAACCAAAGAGCCAGACTTATCAGCTGATCTTAAGGTTAGGATTCATAAATATATTACACCAACTCAGGACAAAAGTACATACTATTTGTTTGTATAGTGTTTGCATACTATCTGACTGGAAATGACAAAAAAAACTCTAAAAATACTTGGAGAATATCCTCTCACATGTGACATTAAGCATCTGTTCATGAGGAACAACCTTTCATTGGCACAGTTGCAGATGCCTTATCAACTTTAAGCACCTATTTCAACATGTGCTTTTCTGCTGTTTTATGATCCCTGTCCAAGCTTATTGCACTTGAGGGTCAGTATCATTACCTGACAGACTGTGAAAGCCAACGCTCCTGTCAACAGTACTTCCTTCCTGTGGACAGATTACAGTTTACTGCATGCGATATCTGTGTATTATCCAGCTTTAAGTTGAATTTGAACTCGTTTCTGTTGCTGTGTTGACTATAATAAGACACATATTAATTTATTTCATCTGATTCATAATGAGTCTTAATCCTGGCTTAAAAAGTAAGTAATGCTTTTCTCGCTCTGACCTGTCCAGACTTACGTATGTTTTGAACTTGTACATAACATTTACTAGACATGAAAAATATAGTGGCGCTGAACAAGTGGGCTGAAACAAAACAGACGTGACAAGAAAAGTTCAATGTGTCTTTTATCAAATGCTCCACTTCCTTAAAGCAATTAGAGAGATAACATGACCCAGGTAGAGTACACCACCGCCGCTGCATCCTGCTTAAGATTATACAGTGCATACCATTTGTACTTACAAGAGCCGAGACATTTTGGGGGGGGGGGGGTTTCAAACACATAAGGGACTCGTGAGGATAGATTATTTAAGAAATAATGTTCCTGAATCACTGTGTCTTTATTTAAAAAAAAAATACAGGCATTGATTTGAAGTACCTTGCTAGTATGGGGTTGGACCCCCTGTTGCCTTCAACAGTGCCTTAATTCTTCATGACACAGGCGCTGGAAACATTCCTCAGATCTTTTGGTCCATATTAGCGTGACAGCATCACACAGTTGCTGCAGATGTTGCTATCATGCATAGAATGCACCTCCCCTTATCAAATCCCAAAGGTGCTCTATTGCAGTGAGATCTTGTAACTGTAAAGCCCATCTGGACATGTTCAATAAACCAGTTTGAGATTAGTTGAGATTTCTGACATCAGAAGATAGGTAAATCTTCTGGGGGCTCATAAAGAGATAGACATGGTCAACAACTACAGCTACGCTTATTCATTTTAATCAGCTGAATGTGTGCCCACTAAATATCCCCCACATCATAGCTTCACCGGCAGCCTGAACCATTGTTACAAGGCAGGATGGGCTGCGTTAATTTTAGCCTCAGTTTCCCGTTCTTAGCTTACAAGAGCGCCACCCAGTGTGCTCTTCTGCTGCTTTGGGCAATCTGCTTCACAACTGATGTGTTGTGGGTTCAGAGACGGTTTTCTGTATACCTTGATTACAACAAATGATATTTTTGAGTTTGGGTCATGTTGCTGCAATGTGGTTGGCTGGTTAGATATGAGCAGTTGAACAGCTGTACCTAACAAAATGGCCGGTGTAAATCAAAATTGGGGCATTTCAGGCCGTAAAGCATAAATAATGAAATAAAAGTCAACTTTTGTAGACTGTAGCTCAGGTGGTAGAGCGGGTCATCTACTGATCGGAAGGTTGGTGTTTCGATCCCTGGCTTCCCTAGTCTGCATGCCAAATATCCTTGGGCAAGATACTAACCCCAAATTGCTCTCCGATGCACCCATCGGAGTATGAATGTGTGTGCGGATGTTACTTAGAAAGCACTCAGAAAAATGTACTTGTGCGAATGGGTGTGAATGTGTGAATGTACAAGTTGTGTACAGCGCTTTGAGTGCTCAGAAAGAGTAGAAAAGCGCTATATAAGAACCAGTCCATTTACCATTTACCATTTAGAGGCCCTGTAAATCGTAGCTTTTCAAGAGAAAATACCTGTAACCCTGCTTCTTTGCTCACAATCATACACCTGGCCAATTCAACAGGCTCAAACAAGTATACTAACACCTTTAGCTGGCCCCCGGCTCATTAGACATCTGAGCACGTACTAGCTAAGCCGATTTTCCGTAATCTGTAGCAATTACAACGTAAAACCACTGATTACAGACACAGTAAATATAGGTGAATGTCACATTCCTGAAGGAATAATTCAGCTAAACAATGGTGCACAGATTGGATGGTGTTCAGCTTTACATTCAGCCCGTGTTCAATAGTCAGCTGAAATTTAAATTGTTTGCATCTTAAATGGTGTTCACAGCAAACTAATCAGCATTTTTTCCTCTTTCAGCCACAAACACACTCATATGCTATCAACGCCACAACAGCAAAACAAACACAACCCACCCTGCTAGTCGTTGCTCACTCAGTTACTCACATGTCGGAAATGAGAAAAATAGTTGCTTAATCTGGAATTTCCTCCAAAGGGAGGAAAGGGAGAGGAGAGATGAGCCATATTTCTGACTGCAATTTTCTTGTATGATGTGAGTCCAGGGGGGGGTGTTTTCACAGCTCACCGTGTCCATTTCACATCTGACTGACAGCCAAACAGAACAGGATGAACTCTGGAAAGCAGAGAGCACGAAGGCACTAGATTGCTTTTATGTCTCCTTTTTATCTGCTACATACTCAACAGTTGACAATGTTAACATTTATTTAATGTTAATATCACCGTCACTGCCATCATAGGCTCTGAGCCTAAATAAAAGGAATATGGCAGGTAAACAGCGCTCCATGTCTATTTATTTCAGTTGCTTTGGCTCAATAACAAAAAATGTGTCATTCCTACATTTGAGGAAATGTAATGTGCGTGATTCTTTGTGGTCAACACAGACTGAGCATTTTAAAACATATTCAATTCATGGGCACGAAGGAGCTGCAAGGGTCAACATTTGATGACCCCCAACAACTTATCAGTGGAAAAAGAAGAAGAGTAAGGATGTGTTAGAGAAAGACAGAATATAGAAATATAGACAGATGAGGAAGAGTGCAGAGGACGGATGGAGCAAACAGTGCAAGAGAGAGCATTAGCTATGAGGACGATAAGAATTTGTGGCCAAACAAACAGAGGGTGACAAGATGTCCAGTGTTTTGTAACTGCAATATACTAACGCACCCAGCAGGGCGATATTTTGTTTCCAGACTACTTTTTGTAACAATGGTCTACTGGGGGTTTTTTTGTTTTTGTTTTTATTTGACATAAACGGTAGTAACCAGACCGAAAAGCAGCACACATTTCGGTGCTTT